CCCCCATTTCCTGTCAGGGACGGACATTGGGTCACTGAGGCTGGCCCCACAGACATGGCCCTGAGCTGGGAGTCAGGTGGCCTGGGCTCTCTGGGTGATATAGTCCTCACCTGAAAAATGGGTGATGTGATAGTGAGCAACTACACGGCCCTCTGGGCCTGAAGTCAATGTTGCTGAGTGGGCAGACAGTTACAGCCAGCAGGTCTCACCAGGGATAGCTTCACTTCAACCAGAGCTGAGGGCTCGCGGGTGGCTGGGCCAAGGGGCGTGCCAGCCCCATGCGGCTAACTCATCCCTCCAAGCGGAGGGATCCTCAAAACTACCAAACTGGCTGACCAAGGCAACGCTCCACACGCTTGTTAAAACGCAGATTCTGGGGCTGCCATGGCCTCCAGAGGCTGGACTGCTGCAGACGGGGCTGGGGATCAGCACCTGTGGAAAGCAGTCAGCAGGGTGCAGAGCAGGGCATCCGGGATCTGACCAAACCGTCCTGCAGAAGGTAGGTGGGCAGCAGTCAGAGCACAGCGCTGCGGGCAGCCTGCTGGGATGGGGCTGTCGGGTAGGAGGGGACCCTGGGCAGAGTCAGCTCCAGGGAACATGAGTCAGACACCAGGCCTCCTGGGACCAAGGCTTTATTTATATTTCCCAGGGCAGGGGCGAGGGAAGGAGTCAAAGACAGTCAGGGATCAAGGATACATCCACGCTCAGGGCCTGGGGACCCCAGCCCCCTGCACCCACCCCGGGCCTGGCCAGAATGGAAGCCTGGGGCTGGGCAGCTCTGAGAGAAGGTCAGTATCTACTCCACACCCTTCATGAACTCCAGGAACTCTGTAGAGAGAAGGGCAGGCGTGGGTCAGTGGTAGAGCCAGGTGGGTGTGAACAGCAGGGAGACCAGGCCCAGTCACCCACTCACCATCATAGTCGATACGACCGTCATTATTCTTGTCCCCGTCCTTCATAAGCTCCTCGATATCGTCCTCCGTGATGGTCTCACCCGTCGCCTGCAGCATCATCTTCAGCTCCTCCAGGTCGATGTAGCCATCAGCATTCCTGCAGAGAGGACAAGGGCACCTCAGAGCCCAGGACAGGGTGCGGGGAGGGGAAGAGGCAGCCCCCCAGTTCAGCAGGTAGGGTAAGGGGCACCAGGAGATAAGCATGCAGAATGGGAGACCGAGGCCAAAGTGTTCCCAGGCTTGGATCTGGGGCTGCCCTCCTTCCTCGGCTCCACTTGGGTCCAGCTCAGAGGTGCAGCGTCTGCTCACTTGTCAAACATACGGAAGAGGTCCGACAGCTCCTCCTCAGACTTCCCTTTGCTGTCGTCCTTCATGCACCGAACCATCATGACCAGAAACTCATCAAAGTCCACCGTGCCGCTGCCTAGGGATTGGCAATGGGGCCGCTTCAAGGTCAGCACTTGCCATACAAGCCCTGTCCCCACCCGCACCCTCACACCAGCTCTGGGAGGCACTGTGGTCATTGTGCCCATTTTATAACTGAGATGACCGAGGCTCGGAGAGGTAAACAGAGGAGGGATCTGAGGCCCTGGTGAACCCAGCTGTTTCTGGAAGGGGGTTGGGGGCTCACCATCCTCGTCCACTTCGTCGATCATCTCCTGCAGCTCCTCGGGCGTGGGGTTCTGGCCCAGCATCCTCATCACCTTGCCCAGCTCCTTGGTGCTGATGCAGCCATCCTCAGCACCCAGCACGAAGATATCAAAGGCTGCCTTGAACTCTGTGTCCACGGCGGGCATTGGAGGGACAAAGCAGCCAGGGCTCAGCGGCCAGGACCCTGGAAAGCCAGGCCTCTGGCGCCTTTTGCCAACCTGCCTGGCTCCCGCTGAGACTCCTCTGAGGTCACAGTGAGAAGGACCCCCAGCTGGCGGCCTCCAGTCTGGTTCTCTCCTGATAAGAGGTCCCCACGCTCCCCCAGTCGGGCTCACTGTCCCCCCACCTGAGACAGGAGGCACTCACCATTTTTCTGCTCTTCTGTCAGCTGCTCTACCTGGAGAGGAAAAGGGGTCTCAGCACTCAGACTCAAGCCGCTCCACAGGCAGAAAGACTACAGCAGGTCCTAGGCCACAGAGCAGGGGCCTTCATCCTCCCTTCCTGCCCCAAAGCCCTGAGGTAACCCAGCTGGCCTCACAGAGGCTGGGCTCAGGGTCAGGGCAACAGGTGGGCACCCCCCGCCCCAGAACCAAGGTGACCCTGAGTGACAATACCCAATGACCACTTTATGCCCTTTCGGCTACCCTAATGAAACCCAAGCTGCATGGCTTGAGGGACAGCTGTCCCTCAGGTTGGGACAATAAAACCAACTGGGGGTGAGCAGAACCACCCACTGTAACCTGACCTGGGTGGCCACTGGGCTATTTTTAATGGGGGACAAAGTTAAACCTGGTGATTGTTCTGGGGACTCTGGCATGCAGGGGGTGGGGCAACATTATCTGGCCCCCTGGCCTTCTGGTGCTGCCTCAGGAGCCAAAATTAGTCCCCAGCCCCACCAGACCTTGTATGGGCACTGGGCGGAGTGCTCCCCCCAGCCCCATGGGCGCCTACAAGATAGGCAGGGACACCCTGGAACCAGCTGCAGCTCTTCCCTGCCCGGGAGTGGGGCCACATTCTGGCGGTGCAGGGGGTCCTTCTGGGAATAGCCGTCTGGGCCACGATGTCCTTGTCTCTGGGGTAGGGGAAGGTTGCCCCTCCAACCGACTAGGATCTGAAACCCCTCAGTGGCCCTGGAAAGCCGCAGAGACTTGGGGTGATCACTCTCCAGCCTTCACTCCTTTACCTCCGCCGCCCTCCAAAGCACTGAACCAGGAGCCTGCCAGACCCCATGGGGGCTGGGGCCTCCATTCCCGGTTCCTTTTCCCCTGGCTCTCCCAGGCCCTGATCTTCCTGGCCTCCAACTTTAAAGCCCCCTTTTCAGCCCAGGATTCAGGTTCCACAGCCCCTCCTCACTGTCCCCTTCCTCCCACCAAAGCATCTTCAGCCGGCTAAGGAGCTGGAGGGGGTGGCGGGTCAGGGCTGATGAGAAAAGGAATGTGAGGGGTAGAGATGGGGGGTAGGACAGGGAGACAGCAGCGGGGACTCCGAGCTCAGCAGAAACAAAGATGTGGAAAGAGACTGAGAAAGACGAAAAGACCCAGAAAACAGAGGCAGGAGTGTAGGGAGGTGTGGGAGGGAGCCGGTGACCGACGACAGACACTGAGAAACACAGGAAAGATAGGGTGCTAAGAGTTCCCTTCTACTCCCTGTGACAGCCCCTCTCCACGACCGGATGCCCCTACCCCTTCTGCACCCTCAAATGCCAGCTCCACCACCCTCTGGAGGGTCTGTGCTGAAGGTATGTGGAGCTTCTCTTGCGCCCCCATCACTTCTCCGGCTGACTTTGCCCCCTCTTCCAAGCTGGGTGACCTCCAGTTTGCCTGCCCACCCACCCCAGTCCTTCCCAGACCCTTCCCTTACCGCAGCCTTGTAGATGTCATCCATGTCAGCGGCTCACGGGACAAGCTGCTGGAGTTGCCAGCCAGCCCTCAGGACTCAGCTTAAATAGCCCTGCCTCCTGCATTCCCAGCCCAGCCCACCGCAGCGCGGTGTGTAGGAGCCTCCACCCCCCACCCCGCTTCGGGTGATCCTTGGCTGACCTGAGTCCCCGTAGCCTCTACCCTGGCAGCGAGCAAGGAGAGCTGCAAAGCACCAGGTCTCTCACTGTCTCCCACACCCACTGAGGACTCTGAGGGTTTCCTGAATGAATGAAAACGTTAGCCTCGGCCCAGAGAGGCAAAGTAGTGGGCCCAGGTCAGGTCCCTGTACATAGTGCCTCAAGCTTCTACCCAGTCAAGGAAATGGGTGCTATTGCCCCCACTTTCCAGATAAGGAAACTGAAGCCTCAGGAAGGGCACTGATTTGTCCAAGGTCTGGTTCAGGGTACCTCCTACCTCAGGGCACCTCTCTTTGGAGCACGCAAAGACTGGGAGCATAAGACCCTGCCAAGAAGAGCCTTGAATGCCAAGCTCAGAGCACAGTGATATGAGATTGATGAGGGAGGAACCACTGACCCTCTTTTTTTTTTTTTTTCTTTTTGAGACAGGGTCTCGATATGCAGTTCAGGCTGGCCTTGAGCTCACTATGTAGCCCAGGCTGGTCTCGAACTAGCAACAATCCTCCTGCCTCAGCCTCCCAAGTGCTGGGATTACAAGCGTGCGCCACCACGCCCGGCTACTGACCCTCCATTGGACAAGATCTAGAGCTCTTCAGCCAGCGGTAACCAGTAGTCACGCCCCAGCCCTTCCATTGCCCCAGGAAGAGCAGTGCTCACTTTGGGCTTGAGTCAGCTGCACTCAAGTCTTCAACAAACACACCTAGGAGAGCGCCACACACCTAGAGGTGTCTCCCCCGCTCGCACCCCAAGTGGGCCACTGCCTGTCAGGCTGCTCCTGGGCCGGGGCGCTTCCCCGCGTTAGCACCGTAGTTCCCAGTCCCGGTCTGCCTCCCTCGGGTTTGGGCTCCAGCAGGTTATCCTAGGGCACTGGCGCCGAACCGCCAGCACACACCCTTCCGTCCACCTACCCCACTGCGCGCAGCCTCCCCCGCCTCGATAAACACGCCCGCTCGGTGCTTCTGTCTGCACCTCGGCGCGCGGAGCGCACGCTGAATTAGCCCCGGGTATTCTCCGGGAACCGGGCGTAACCTAGGAGACCACCGCGGGTGGGGCACTGCTCACGAGTCTCCTCCACACAGGGAGGGAACTCCACAGCCAGGCACTCCACTGTTCCTGCCTCCCTTTCCCACGGGGAAAACTGAGGCCAGGCGAGCCAGTGACTTGCTTAAGCAGCTTGTGGGGCCCGGGATCTCAGTCCTTCCTTCCCGAGGACCGAAGGGTGATAGGGGACCGAGTTGTCGCGGAGGCACGCAGGCACACAAGACTGTGACCCGGCGGATCCGCACGAGCTGCGCACGCGCGCCGTCGGCGGGCCTGTCAATCACGCACGAGGGGCGGGGCGAGGACGTGAGAAGGCGGCGGGGCCAAGATGGCGGCGCGGGCGGGGGGCTGCGGGGGCCGGGGGGCGGTGGGACGCTGACCCCGCCCCCCGCTGCTGCCGGTCGGAGTCGGAACTGCGGAGCTGGAACATGGCGGCGGCGCGCGGCTTCGGGCCGGAGCGGGACGCAGAGCCCGCTAAGGAGGCGCGCGTCGTGGGCTCCGAGCTCGTAGACACGTACACGGTGTGCTGGGAGCGCGGTACCTGAAGCGGGGTGGAGTCCGGAGCCCAGAGTCCGAGTTAGCGGCTCGGGGAGGGGTCTGGGCCCGGCGACCCGGAGTTGCGGGTAGAGGGGTCTGCCATGGCGAAGACCCGGGCCTTGGGTGGGTGACTTGGCGAGAGCGTGAATCCCGCCCGTCCGGGAGGAGGGTTCTGGGCGGGGCGGGGGGATGGAAGAGGAGACTGGGTTGCGAGGAATGTGGGGATAATGGAGGCCTGGGCTGGGGGATGTCTAGGTGAGGCGGAGCCCTAGGTCCTCCAGGCCTGCCGGGGACGCGGGCCTGAGAGAACTTGACAGGGGCTCCAGGAGGAAGGGGTCTGGGGAGCGGGGTTTCTGGGTGGATGCGATGGGGAAGGAATCAAGATCCTACGGGTCGTGAAGGAGAGAGGCAGGACTCTGACCTGGGTGCCCGGGATCACGGTGCAAATCCGCTGTGCAAATAGGGAGGGATCTCGGGGGCTCCTGGCTTTGATAGGGCAGCAAGCCGCCCCCGCAACTCCTTGGCTATAGAGGAGAGAGAAGACCGAAAAGGGCGATATTTCCAGACTGCGATGGGGCTGAGGCCCCTTTGGGTCTGGGTGGGCTTGGATACCAGGTCTCTGAGTCTGGGGGTGCTGCCTGGTGAAACTTGCTCTGGGGTGGGGGCTCATCGAACACCTCCCATTCTCCAGTCCTTTGTTCCCAAGAGGATGGGGAGTGGTGGGAGCCTTGGCTCTGCGTGTGCCCCACCCCCTTGACCTCCTTCCTAACCCCCCTTCTTGAGGTCCATTCCTCTAGCTCTTTTTCTTTTGCTGGGGGCAGAGGGAGGGAGCTGCCAGGATGAAAGAGAGGCTGGGGGCGGATCCTGGAGCAACAGGCGGTACCTAGAGAAATGGCTCCTCCTCAGGGCTAGAGGCTTTTATCTGCTGACTGTTTTCTCCTCCCGCTTCCCTGCTGCAATGAGGGGCATGAAAAACTACTATCAGGGGGCCAAAATCAACTGGAAAGTCATCTCCAAAAGCCTCTTCCTGTTTGGGGTTCTGCCTCTCCTTTGAATGTGAGGAGGGGGGCTGGGGATTTAGCTCAGCGGCAAAAGCGCCTGCCTGGCAAGCGCAAGGTCGTGAGTTCAGTTCCCGGTACCGAAGAAAAACAAAACAAAACAAAACAAAACAAAAAAAAAAATTATTGAATGTGAGGAGGGCAGGTAGTGATCCAGGCTGATCCTGATACAGGACCTCCAAATGATATAAGGGAAATATAACTCCCAGCCTGCTAGATGTCCAGTACACTAAGTTTGTGTTCCCCAGAATCGAAGAATGAAGTCTAAGGAACAACGGAAATTAAAAGTAGGAAATTTTATTGAGGGAGAGGCAGCTCCTGAGAGACAGAGGGGGGCCCAAGTGGGTTTCCCTGGACCCCACTTTCCAAGGGAAGTTTTATAGAGCAAAATCATGAGGTAGGTACAAGGTGGGATGAAGCTATGATCAACCAATAAGATTACAAGTATAGCCACTTAGGTAATGTTGATCCAGTGGGGAAGCAAGTCACATATCAAGTGTACAGGAAAGAATAAGGACCTTTTTTTTTTGGTTTTTCTCCGGTACCGGGAACTGAACTCACGGCCTTGCACTTGCCAGGCAGGTGCTTTTGCCGCTGAGCTAAGTCCCCAGCCCCATAAGGACCTTTTTTGGAAGAGATGAGTCTGGAGTTCCTGGTTGCCCACCTGGGTGACAGATGTCTGTCTAGACTTTATTGGACCAGGTGGTACCAGTTGTCTTAGTTCCTTTTCTCTCTTTGCTGAGACAAAATATCCAACACCCAAAGTTAAAGGGCGGAAGTTTATTTAGCTCACAGTTTGTAGAGGTTTTAGTCAGGAATCAGCTGGCTCCAAGGTATGGTGGCTTGGCAGAGCAGTATTGCAGAGAACAGTTCATGGTGCCCAAGGTACCCAAGGTATCAAAAGCAACAAGGGACCTTAACAGTGTCTGTCTGCCCCTTATATAATATCCAGGCTACTGAGATTAAAGCAGTGCCAAACCAGTCAGTGGGTTGATTTAGTAATCACCCACCCTTAATCCTAACATTGCACTATGAATCAATTACATACTCTAGATTCAACTGCATCTGGGAAAGCCCCACCTGAGGCTTTGGGGGGACATCTAGATATAAGCCATAACACCAGTTATAGTATATTGCTTATCCCTTGGGGAGGTACATAGGCCTGGTAATTCTGTCTTTATATTGAAGCCTGGCCTTCATTGGATGCACCTCCAGCCATAGTTGTAATGTATTCTCATCTTCTGCATTGACTCGCATGAAGGCCTAGCCCTGTCTGACTGCTTATAATATTTCTACCTAATTTAACTGTCTATAGTACCTGCCCCCCCCCGGAGGAGGAACCCCAGACTGCCGTGAGGGAACAAGGGGCAAAGATTGGTGGCTACTTCTGGCTTACAGGGGTCATAGTTGTGATTGGCAGTCAGAGATACTACAAAGGGGGTCTATCTAAAGGCCAAGAGGGGCTGGGGATTTAGCTCAGTGGCAAAGCACCTGCCTGGCAAGCGCAAGGTCGTGAGTTCAGTTCCCAGTACCGGAAAAAATAAAAATTAAAAAAAAAAAAAAATAAAGGCCAAGAGTTCTTGCCTTAAGTAAGTGTATAACTTTAAGTCTGGAGGAGACAAGGCAAAAGAAACAGTTAAGTATGCATGGGCCAAATAAGATCAACAAGACTATTATGAATACAACCAACAAATGTTTGCAGCAGGAAGAGCCAGTAATACCTTCCCACAAAGAGAGTAAGGAGAGAGCCCAGGGAACTTCAGAATTCAACATTACATTAACCTGTCATTTAATATCTTGAACAGCCATTGAGGTATTAGCAAAAGGACCAGGAGTATACATACAATATTCAGCTTTTACAGCTGCACGGGTACCCCCCCCCTTGGTAGAATGTCTAATGCCATCAGATTTTGGCAGATAGCTTGCCTCATTAATTTTACTGCTTCATTTAGGACAGAGAGAGACCATTGAAGATGTTGTTTAAGGCCCAACGAGTAGTCAGTTAAGGCCTCGATGTATTGCATGATATCCTGTAATCCTAGGGAAGGGATAATGATAGAAGGCAAATGACCATACCAGCAAAACATACTGCTAGGCCATCAGTGTTGTAGATGGGGTAAGTTTGCAGGTTGGTCAGTGTTTTTGACATTCCTGCCTTGTAACCGTGCAAATCCTAGCATGCATCTCCCTATCCATCCAGGGGATAGCCAGGGTCACAGTTTGGTTCCACAGGACCAATGAGTGCTATTGAAGACTTCCCATCTAATTCCAGGGTGATTAAACCAGTTTATTGCAAAACAGTCTTCAATCTGTAAAGTTAGTTATGGTGTATATAAACTGCTCAGGGAGTGTCCATCCCACGTATTTAGTCAAGTTAGGCCAATGAGAATAGGAGTAATTTCTTTGTTCCTAACATAAGGAGGCTTTTCTACTAAGTTGTCCTATAGTTGGAGTTAACTACATACAATCATTCTATATCTGAAAGTAGCCATCTTTATACGTATGATTGTTGGCTCTCATGACAAGACCTTTACTCTTAATAGGGATTCTAAGTCTATAGAGAGGATTTAATGGCAGTTTTAGAAAAAATTCAGTTATGTCCAGGATCATTAAGGGTGTCATTTATAGGCCACTGGATTACCTTGTAGCAGTGGGCTAAACTATGAATCACTAAAGGGCCAGGGTTATAGCTCAGTGGCACAGTGCCTGCCTGGCAAGCTCCAGGTCCCGCGCTCAGTTTCCAGTACGAAATAAGCTATGAACCACTGAAATTTTTTGTGTCTCATCAGTGTAGTCTTGTAGCTTATTCTGATCATCTCTTTGAAGTGGGGATTCCCACCAAGAAAATCCTGATGTACCTGACAAGGGGAGCAGGCCACATATCCAGTGAGATGTTTGTTGTAATGACTCTACATATTCTTGTGCCCATATCAGGAAGGAATTGCACTCTCCTTTAAGTGGTAATTACTAAAAGGGCTAAGAGTAACATCTTAGATTACTTGTCTGAAGGCTTTGCTTTCTTTTTGAAGAAGAGTTTTAAGTCTTCTATGGGCTTACAGGGGTATTGAGGTGGTTGCTGGCACTCAGAAGCAGTTTCTGGTTCCCAGGGCTTGAGTCGAGTATGGTGAATCCAAGAGTTTAGGCCTGCTACATTGACAGCTGATGGAATTGACAGGATCACTGTGTATGGTCCTTCTCAAGTTGGTCCTAGGAAAGATGATGAAGGCAGAGACTTGACCAATCCTAAATCTCTGGGGTGGAATATGGGATTTCCCTTTTCTTTAGGCTGAGCTTCCCTTAGCTATTGAAGAGTCTGTTAGAATTTAGCCAGTGAGGTAACATCTTTTAGTAAGGCATCTGTTTCTTTATCAAAGAGAAAATCATTAGTGAGAAAAGGGCATCCATAAAGCATTTCAAATGGACTGAAGCCTTAAATTTGAGGTGTATTTCGTACCTCATTAAAAGCTAAAGGTAGTAAGTGAGGCCACTGTAAGTCGATTTCCTGAGCCATTTTGTACGAGGATGTCTCTTCAGGGTCTCATTTTCTCTACCTTTCCCAATGACTATGGTCTCCATGTACTGTGAAGGGGATAGAGAATGCCCAGTGCCTGAGAGACACCCTGCATGACTGTTGCTTTAAAAGAAGGCCCATTATCGCTCCGTAAGCTCTTAGGAAGTCCAAATCTGGGCAGATTTCTAAGACCAAAACCTTTGCCACCTCTTGTGCCTTTTCTGTTTTATGAGGAAAGGCCTCAACCCAGTTTGTGAAAGCATCCCCCCAGACCAGTAGGTATTGGAGCCCCTTACTTTTTGGCATATGAGTAAAATCAAGCTGCCAATCTTCTCCAGAGTATTTACCATGTCTCTGTATACCTGGAGGGGCTACGGTCCAGTTAGGAGAATTGTTCTTTTGGCAGAGCTCACAT